AAAAAAAAAAAGCGTTCATCAAATCACCAAGGAAACACAAATGGAAACTATAATGAGAAGTCACTTCATGGTACTAGGATGCAAAAGACTAAAACGCCAAATGGTGGAGAGGACATGGAGCAACTGGAACTCTCGCTGAGGAATGCACAAAGTGGTACAACCACTTGCGGGACCTTTTGGTGCTCTTACAGAGTTAAATCCACATTCACCCTGTGGCTCAGCAATTTCTCAAGATAAATTTTAAAATCCATTCACGAAAGTACAAAGATGCTTATAGCTTTATTTATAATATAAAAAAGCAGTGAATTACCTAAATGTCCATCAACAAGAGAATGAATGAACACTGCAGGGCAGTCATACCATGGACTGTATCTCAGGTACTGTACTTTGTACCTCCTTCCACTGGAAAAGAAACACAGTGTCTGGTAGACTTTTTGGGGACTTAGATGCCAGCCCATACCATGGGAATTCTGCTCTGACACATTTACTAAGTGGCTTGAAGGCTTCCAGACTTGAATAGGTCCCAGAGTAAGAGAGGGCTTTACAACATGTCACTGTCACTTGGGCCTTGTGACCCAATGGATCCTATAGGGTTAGAAGTATCTATGGAGTGTCACATGGACTCCATGGCAGTCCCTGGTAACTCAAACACAATCTGTCTAAGAGAGCGATTCTTCTGTTAGAAAGAAGCTTCTGGAATGCTACTGGGCCCTGATGGAGACGGAGCATCTCTGTCCATGGAAGAGAACCAGCAAGCAATGGGAGCTGCCTGGCATGATCTGGGTAAATTCAGCCCTACCGAGTTCTCTGGTGGCATAGTGCCTGTGCTGTAGTAAATTACTTGGTATGGCTTTTCTAGCCATAAGTCCTTGTAAACTCTGTGGTCGAATTTGCTGTGAGAAACTGAGTAGCTCCTGATTGTTAAAATCATCCACCTGGGATATTTCTGTTGGGAGTGTCACAAAGCAATGTTCCAGGAAGTTTGCTCTCTCTCTCAGGTGCTTAGAATTCTGATGTTATCGTTGGCTAGTTTGGCCACTCTGCCAGGCTCAAAAGGAGGCCTCCTAGAGACAGAGCTCTCTCTGACACTTGGCTGAGGACGACTTGTTGCTGAGAGAAAGAGATACCGAGAGACACGTGTTGCTGAGAAAGAGACACCAAGAGACATGCATTGCTGAGAGAGAGCCTGAGAGAGACTGTTGGGTGAGAGATGGCGGGCTGGGAGAGAGACTGAACGTTGTTCCTGAACTTGAATTGTTGCCTGGTGCTTCCCTAATAAAGCCCATCATCTGTGAGTTCTGTGTGGCCACTGCAGTGAATTATTGAACCCGGCAGATAGGTTTTGGGTGCTGCAGGTGGAACGGTTGGTGTAAGGTCTGGAGGGAGGCAGCATGTCTGGCCTCTCGGGAATAGGCCTTGGGCTATTGGTGATTCTTCCTCTTTTGGGGTTACAGGAGGTCAGGAGATGTGGCCTCCTTGCCCCTTTAGCAGTACCTAAGGCATCTGACTGCTAACCAGAAGGCTGGCAGTTCAAACCCACCAGCCACTCCTCGGAAGGAAGATTGGGCAATCCACTCCTGTAGTGATACCTAAGGCATCTGACTGCTAACCAGAAGGCTGGCAGTTCAAACCCACCAGCCACTCCTCGGAAGGAAGATTGGGCAATCCACTCCTGTAGTGATACCGCCTTAAAAACCAATTGACTCGACAGCAGTGAGTTTGGTTATTTATTTATTTATTTTTTAATCAGGTTCAAAGTGACATGTTCAAGATTGGGCCTGAGCAGATCCAAGGGCACAAGGAAGCTTCATACCCTGTGTCCTGATTCCCATCGGCCACTGCTTCAATACAGTGTCCTCAGTGCACATCTATGGCCTTTGGTAGGCTTCCTGTGACCAGCTAATGGAAAGGTGAAAATTCATGGATCAGTCAATGACATCTACCATAATAACAGACTAAAGACAAATTTTTAAAAAAATCATATTTATTGATGTCAAGAAGCATTTAATAAAATTCAACATCAGTTCATGATTTTTTAAAAAAAAAACCTCCCAGCAAATTAGGCATGGAAGGGAACTTCCTTGACCTGAAAAAAGAGCATTTACAAGAAACCTACAACTAATAGCATGCTTCCTGGAGGGAGACCGAATGATTTTTCCCTAACAATGGAAACCAGGCACAGATGTTCACACTTAACCACTTATATTCTACATTTTCCTAG